GTTATTATGACGTGCGATATGTGCTTCAGGCACAGGTGCAGATCCAAAAGGACGGGGAATTATGGTTTTGCATCAACAAATGGTTGTGCTTTTCAGCTACAAGTAGTGCAGAAATTAACTCTGAATGATTGTAGTAATTCTTTGCCCTATACTGCTACTGGAGTACAAGGTTATTAGCATGAAAGGTGGATAATGTTTTTTTTTCAACATTTCAGTCTCTGTGATCTGCTGGCCACAGAGTCTTAGTTGTGATACAATTCGGTGAAAAGCAGAATATACGGACTTAAAATCCTAAAAGCGTAAGTTGATCCATTCAAATCTGGCATGAGGAAGGACCACTTCTTGTTGATGATCAAAGCGATCCTTCAAGGATTGCCATAGAACTACATGGTCCTCCTCAGTCAGATACTCAACCTTTAAATCTTCATGTAAATGGTGGCGGATGAAGATAAGAGCCTTAGCCTTCTGGGCTGGAGTACAATTCGATTTTGGGAGAATAGATTGACTGAGATCTAATGATGTTAAGTGTATCTTGACATCAAAAGCCCATGTTAGATAATTGGGGGAAGAACAGCATTTGTGCCAAAACTTATGTACGGAGGCCACTTTGGTGCCAAAAGTTTCATTTGGATCACTTAAGTGCCAAAAGTTTACGCCGGCGATCACTTAAGTGACAAATCGGAGAAAAAACGATCACTTAAGTGCCAACGGCGAGAAATTCCGATCAAATTTAATACGTTGCTTTTATATTTAATTTTTAATGACACATGGCATTTCCACGTGTATAATTCAATTTTTTTAAAAAAAATTTCTGATTTTTTTCTTTCTTTTCTTTTTTTTTCTTTTCTTTCTTCTTATTTCCGTTGGCCGGCGTCCGGCCACCGGCCATGGCCGGCCTCGCCAGGCGTCGCCTTCCTCCGAGCGAGGCCCGGTGAGGCCGCCGTGGCCTCGGCGAGGGCCGGCCTCGCCGGATCCACGGCGAGGCGAGCCCTCGCCGGGGCTTGCCCCCGCCAGCGAGGGTCGAGGTCACCCGGGCAAGACGAGCCCGGCGAGGGCTCGCCTCGCCAGATCCGGGCGAGGCCGGCCCTTGCCGAGGCAGCCGTGGCCTCGGTGAGGGCCGGCCTCGCCGGATCTCGGGTGAGGCGAGCCTCGCCGGGGCTCGCCCCGCCCGGGCGAGGGTCGAGGTCGCCTAGGCGGGGCGAGCCTCGGCGAGGGCTCGCCTCACCCGGATCCGGCGAGGCCGGCCCGCCGAGGCCACGACTGCCTCGTCGGGCGTCGCCTTCCTCCGGCGAGGCCCGACGAGGCAGCCGTGGCCTCGGCGAGGCCGACCTCGCCGGATCGCGGCGACGCGAGCCCTCGCGGGGCTCGCCCGCCTAGGCGACCTTGACCTCGCCGGGCGGGCGAGCCCGGCGAGGCCGGCCTCGCCGAGGCAACGGCAGCCTCGCCGGGCCTCGCCCGGAGGAAGGTGACGCCCGGCGAGGCCGGTGGCCGGACGCCGGCCATCGGAAATAAGAAGAAAGAAAAGAAAAAAAAAGAAAAGAAAGGAAAAAAGAAAGAAAAGAAATGCCACATCAGCCTCCGGCGAGCCACATCAGCTTGAGAAATTAATAAAAAAATGCCACGTCTGATTTCCGACGAAGTGGCACTTAAGTGATCGTTTTTCATAACTTTTAGCACTTAAGTGATCCGATTGAAATTTTTGGCACCAAAGTGACCTCCGTACACAAGTTTTGGCACCAATGCTGTATTTCCCCCTTAGATAATTACTTCCTGTAATATCTAACGTTGCAAACTCTCTCTCGGTAATGTTTGACATACTTAAAAAGAAATTGTAGAGATATTAGATAATGAAGAGGTAAAGGTATGTTACCTTGAGTGATATCCAAGATTCTAACCGACTCGTGCTGATAACGTGTTGTAAAAGTAAACGGTGATCTTTGGAATCAACTTAGAAATCAATTTGAAGTATAATATGAGAGAAAGGAAGAGATAAGAGAGAAGTGGGGAGCAAGTGTTAACCTCTTTTACTCCCCTCAACAAGTTTACCAAAGCCTCTATTTATAGGCTAGAGGGTACATGAATAATATAGATACATTGTACATGAATGTATGTGTTCATGTAGACTATTAATGGAGGAGGCGATCATGTGCATTGAAAGAGGGAATGTATAGAACTCTTCATGGAATGATGAAAAGTGATACATCCACATCATACAATGTATTTATAACAGGGAAATGCTTTGTGAAAGCTTATCTATTTTAGGCTTTTTTTTTGGTTGAATATATGTTTTAGTTTGCGAAATGTATTATGGATTTGATTTTTGGATATTGGAGGATGATAGTTTAATGCTCATTATCGCTATGAACTTGGTTAGGGGTTTCCAAGTATGCATACTGATTTATTTATTTCCTTTTGGGTCGAACCACCGATTGATAATAAGTGAAGACTTTGCCAAGAAGGAAATCTCGGTTGCCTTATCACCAGGTATTGTCTCGTGACCATTGTTGAATATTAAGCAATAGACTGGTCAATTGAATGGACCATTGACGTGTGATTTAATAGAGATTGATCAATGAACATGACCATTGATGTTTGAATTATACGTTGGATTAAATGAGTAGTTCTGGTTTATATAAAATTTTGTTGAAATAAAACAACTTATATTTGATTTGGTATATATATTATCTCATGGGTTTGGATTATGAGTTTCTGGTATTGCTTTATATATATACATAGTGGGTGAAGAGATGTACTACTCACTAAACTGTGGTTGCTCATACCATTCCTCTTAAATGTTTTTCAAGTTCTTCGCTTAATAGCAAGTAGCGCAAGAGCGCTATTAGTAGGTAACTTCGATGGTGAGATTTTTGGGTATGAGCAATTTATGTTTGATTTGAGCTTACTGGTTTAGTTGTTACTTTGGAGATGTACATATATATTTATATATGTTTTATGGATTACGAAAACTTTGATATTATAACCAACTTGCTGGCTCATCATATATTTATATGAATGGAGATATATATTTTGATAAGGTTTCTATTTGAGACTGCGTGCTTCGGGTGAAAGGACGAGCATGTCATGTGCTTATTTTTGCTGTAATACTTAGCGTCACAGTGAAAATTGTTGCTTAGCCAGTGGGTGGCATAGTTAAATCAGCAAATATGAAGGCATCAATCAAAATGGCTCCGAGGTGGAAGAAAAAGTGAATTGGTACTTAGATATGCTCTCTCCCGAAGAACTCTTGAAGCATCGCAGAAAGCATGTACCATATTCTTAATTAACTCGCCCGAAAAATTGTCTACTTTTTTTTTTTTTTTTGTCAGAAAGAAATTATTTACTTGACCCATCCCATATTGAGCATGGCCGTTTTTTGTGCTTTGATGTTAGGTAGACACTTTTTCAAGAGGTAACTCAAGTTTCGTCTGACCTAAGTATACTTAACATTGAAGTTCCAATGCTAAACATCACTATTATGTCGCGTCTCTTGTGAGTCAATTTCAGTGTCCCATATATAATCTAGGAACGCTCTTAACTTTGACGTGCAATTCGATTCAATTCATGTCTCTTTTGCCATCTTCGAAATCTGCCAAAAATCGCACCTTATCTAGACCCTGTCGTCCCGCCCTCGTCAACCGGATCATTGCAGCATGAAAATATAGGATTCAAATCCTATAAACTTAGAACCAAAAGCTCAGTTGGTCACATTCATTCACATTGTTCTCACCTAGAAGGAATTAGAATCCACCGAGCAAAAAGAAAAACAAAGGAAAGTCATTTCTCCAATGATCTTCGGGAGCTGGGATGAATGATTGAGATTCTTGATTTCGATATACTTCGGGAAGAAGAACCAAGATGGGTCCTACGCGTGCCTGAGAAAACCTTAAAAAACACCTATAAGGCAATATAGCAAATTGGTTCATAAAAAGAAGGCAATAGAACTTATTGATAGCATTTTGGGAAGAAAGATGGTAAGAGATGCTTTAGAAACATATAAGCACATGTGTTATATAGTAAAGAGCAAAATACTATGTTTTCAGTTACTCATACAAGACCAACATCTAACCAAATATGATATAATTTAGGACAAAATGATATTGCAACCATCCATAACCCTTGTCGATTTTTTTTTGTTCTGTTGATGAGTTATAAGGTCGTTAATATAAATCCATACAAAACTTTACGCATTTCATATTGCAATTTTTAATACTTGGTTATTTTTTATACCAAAGAGCAACAATTTTTAATGTATTTAAGGTATTTTAACTCACCAATAATATTAACTCGCGAATAACTAGAATTTTCTTTTAAATTAAATTGACTTTCAATGTGCATAGTAATTTTTTAATAGAGAAAAAAGTATTCAGATAAATGTGAATAATAACTCTCCATATATTTTTATACTAGTAACATCATGAAATAGTTTTTTAGGGACCAGTTTAAAAATTCACTATGAGTTTTAGTGGTCATAAAGAAATGATTCATTGGATCTAGTAATATATATAGATTTAAATTATGGAATCTGTTAGAGCCCACCATTTATAATGATCCTCATTCAATTTAACACATTTACTATGTATGTATGTATATATATATATCTTATAATTCTTTTGAGCACATATTAAAAAGCCCGTATTTTTTGGGAAATTATTGACTTGCATAAAATGATGAAAACTATTGACTTGCGTAAAATGCAAGTTGCTTTTCCATTCTTTTAAAACCCATTCGGCTCTCTCTTTTTCCCCCACTCTTTGAGAAATATTTACCTGGATTGGGATGCACTGGACCATATCAATCACGGCTCTTGATCTCCCCCGTGTGGACCAGGCGCGGCCCACCGCCGCCCGCGAGATCAACGGCCGAGATTCAATTGGTCCAAGGAACAAATTGCGCCCCACCCTCTCTCCCTCGTGCTGGCGTGGACGGATACTTCGTCCCGACACACATCGGTAATTCCAAAGTCAACCCTTTGACGGAACCGCACCCCCCGATGGAAACGATGATCTGACTAGACCCAACACAAGATTACACACATCTCTCTTTGATGATCGTCTCCTACATCTGATCCGAAGCGAAGACCGAACTCTCACCGGTGATTTCAATGGGGTTCAAGTTCATCCTGAACGCACTGTGTCGTTCCACGACGACGTGCGGCTCTTCCTTCGCATGGTGTTCATCTTGCCAGCCGCCGCCGCTCGGCTACCGCCGCACGCCTCGCGGCGTGTCCGCCATGCTCGCCGCCATGATGCTCGGTGGACTGTAAGCCGCTCTCTTACTCTTCTTTTTCTCTTCCACCTCAGAGCTCACCAACAACAAAAGATGGAAAAGAATAATCTCAGTCTTCACATTTCGTTGCACTTTGTCAGGGCCTTGGGACTACTCGCCCCGACCATGCTCGCGTTCGTCAAGTCAACAGCGTCCAAAATATTCCGCAAACCCGCCACGACAGCCAAGAGGGAGGAGACGAGCGACCCGGAAGCAGCCGAGACGAGCGGCGGCGACGCGCCGTCACCGGCCGGCGAGGAGTACGAGGTGTTCCTGAGCTTCAGGGGGCCCGACACTCGCACCGGGTTCACCGATTGCCTCTACCACGACATGCTCGGCGCCGGAATCCGCGTCTACCGAGACGATGAGGAGCTTCGCGTCGGCAGGGAGATCGGCGGCGAGCTCATGCGGGCGCTCGACGTGTCCAAGATCTACGTGCCCATCTTCTCCAAGGACTACGCGTCGAGCTCGTGGTGCCTCCGCGAGGTCGCCCACATGGTGGACTGCGCGGGGAGGTCGAAGGGGAATAAGGAGATCTTGCCGGTGTTCTTCGATGCGTCGCCTGCGGATGTGAAGCTCAGGACTGGGTTGTACAGGAATGCCATGGCCAAGCACAGGAAGAAGTTTGGGGCTGTGGAAGTGAAGAGGTGGGAGGATGCTCTTGTGGAAGTTGCTGAATTGAAGGGATGGGACCTCAAAACTAGAGGGTAATTACTAATTTTCCAATTCTCTGTCTTCTTAGTTTTTCGTGTCTTCCATACCTGATTTGTTTATTAGAATGTACAATTTGAAGTCCTCAGTCTTTGCCATTTTCTGCGTGAATAAGATTTCTGGGAGTTTCGTTAGTTTGAAGTGCGGGAAGAAGTTTGCAGTAATTGTACATTGTCTGGGGTCTCAGTTGAATGCAAGTAATCCTGTGTTGGGGGTAGTCATTGATGTATAGACTCATGAAATCTGGCAGACTCCATTTCAGTAGTCAACTACCAGTTTTCAAGATTAATGAGCTTGGATAATCTCTATTCTGTTCCTGACTTTGATCGGCCTTTCATCAGTGGTAAGTGGTAACCGATAGGAGAATACTGATGAGCTGATCGAGTCTCCGTTTTGGTCATGCGCACTCGTATACCAACCACATCAGGAAGTTCCACAGAAAAAAAAAAAATCAGTCATTTGGCTAGTCCAGAATGCAATTTCTAACTTCAGAGTACAGTTCAAACATAGACCAAACAAAAAACATCAAGGGGTAAATCATAATTATGCATCATATCAAGAAGGCATTTGCAATGAGATAGTATTGCACGCCTCCTCTGTCATACTGCACGCCTTCTCTGTTGTACATGTGGATTCCACAGATCTAGAACCTGCAAATACTTGAGGGTGCGTACAAGTTCCAAAATATTCAAAACTTTTGGCTGTTTGTTATGTGCCTTGTCTGATATCTAATATCACGTACGTACTCTGATGTTTTAAGGAGTGAAGCAACTAGTGGTTTCTGAGGAATGCTTTCTTTTAGCAAGCCTCTTTCTTTTCCTCACCCCTCTTCTACCATTCACTGGATATTTTTTACTCTTTTTCTCCGTCTTCTTTTCATCAATTCTTCCTTTTAAGTTTTCTCTCTGTTCCAGCTCAACTCAATTTTTTTTATTTTAACTTATAATTCCAGTTAATTATTCCATCCTGCTTAATCTAGCCTGGAAATGGTTCATGAAGCATGAAGAACTTTAAGCTTAAGTCGCATTTCATATTGATAATATAAAAAGAACTAAAAAAATAGAGAGAGCATGAGGACAGATTTATACTGTTGGGAAAAAGGTATAAAACATTGGAACTCTGTCTAGTGTGTAAAATTTTACCTTTGTACAATGTGAATGTTTCTTGAACTGACTCCTTGTTCGCAATCATCTATGACTAAATCCATATACTTTTGCTTCAACTTGAAACTTGAAAGATATGATGATGTCTATTTACTATCTTCTTTCAACTGAGGTAGTTCACATATGTGGCAGGCATGGGGAAGCTATTAAGTCGATCATCCGAGAGGTTTTGTTTAAGTTGAAGATAAAACATAAGTATGTGATGAATCAGTTGGTTGGAGTGGATGATCATGTAGAAGACATAATGAAGCTGTTGGATGTTGACTGTGAAGGTGTTCGTTTTGTTGGTATTCACGGGATGGGCGGTGTTGGCAAAACAACTCTTGCAAAGGTTGTCTTCAACCAGCTCTGTTCGTACTTCGATGATTGCTGCTTTCTTGGAGATGTTCGAGAATCATCAGAAAAAGGGGGCCTAGTAAATTTGCAGAAACAGTTATATTCTGACATTCTTGACTCTAGATTCGTGGACAACATTCATGACATTGATGATGGGATTAACCAGATCGGGACGAGATTTCGCAGCAAAAAGGTCCTCATCGTTTTGGATGATGTGGATAGAGAAGAACAACTAGAGAAGCTAGCAGGGGCACGAGATTGGTTTGGTTCAGGAAGTAGGATAATCATTACAACCAGGAATGAAATTACTTTAAAAGTCCTGGATGAGGTTTTGATATATGAATTAAAGGAACTGAATTTTGATCAAGCTCTCAAGCTTTTCTGTATACATGCTTTTAGAAAAGACGCTCCACCGTATCAATATGATACTCCTGCATCAGAAATTGTTGTCACAACTGGAGGGCTTCCTTTGGCTCTTGAGGTCATAGGCTCGTTTCTCTATCGCCAACCGGAAGAGATCTGGAAAGAGACTGTGGAGAGGTTAGCAAGAATACCTCATAAGGATGTTCGACAGCAGTTGATGATCAGTTATGAAGCATTAGAAGATGAGGAAAAGCATATTTTTCTTGACATTGCATGTTTTTTCATCAACGACACAAAAAAGACAAATGCAATTTACATGTGGGAAGCTTGCAATTTTTTTCCTGAGACTGGGATTCAGGTTCTTATGCAAATGTCTTTGGTAAAGATTGTCAATGGTGATACAATATGGATGCACGATCAGCTCAAAGATCTTGGGAGACAAATTGTTCAGAGGGAATGCTTGCATGATCCTGGAGAGCGTAGCAGGGTGTGGGTTTGCGAGGAAGCCGTCGACATTGTAAGAACAAAACAGGTAAACAAAATTCACTGTTTATGAATTGGGTATGTGTAGAAAAGAATTCACATTTCCACTTAGAAGCCTCTTGGTTCTTTTACACCAAAAGAGAAACTGAATTTTTGTTAAAATCATGCTTGTTCATTTGTGTTTTGGCAGAGAAAGAAAAAAGTTCAGGCACTCATATTATCTGGAAGTCAATTTCAACCACTTGTAATTACACATGACGAACTTAGTAGGTTACCCAACTTAAGGTTCCTTGAATTAGAGGATGGAACCTTTGTCGGAGACTTTGGGGATAATTTTTCGAAGTTAAGATGGATTTCTTGGCATTCTCCTAGGCCACTTGATCTTGAGGTAACCAATCTATCTATAAAGAATTTGGTTGTCTTTGAGATCTTTTCAGGCAGCATCACAGATGACTGGAGTGGATGGAGCCTAATCAAGGTATTATATGCATTCACTTTGATTCTGATTGGCATATAATTTAATATTTACCATTTTCTTCTCCTGATGGTCAATCGTTTTTTGTAGATGGCAAAAAATTTGAAAGTTCTTAACCTCAGAGGTTGCCAAGGCATAACTAGGACACCGGACTTCTCTGGATGCTCGAGTCTAGAGAGGGTGAGTTTCTATAATTGCATAAACTTGGTTGAAATTGACCGCTCCATTGGGAAGCTAAAGCACCTGATTCACTTAAATCTTAAAGAGTGCATCTCTCTTAAGGATTTGCCTGAAGAAATCGGAAGGCTTATAAATCTGAAGCACTTCGCTTCCAGTGGATGTTTTCAGAAACTCCCAGATTCATTTGGGAAATTGACATCACTAAAGGAGTTGGATCTGTCAAACATACAAATTGACTGCCTTCCTGAGTCAATTGGTGATAAGAAGTTTCTAGCTGTCCTTAATCTAAGGTACACACAAATTAGGAAACTTCCAGAGACTATTGGGAAGCTTGTGAAACTCGAGTCTCTTTCTCTCTTTGGGTGCTTAAAGTTGGAAAAGCTCCCGGACTCAATTGGGAAGCTAGAGTCTTTGCAGGAGTTGAATCTATCCAGTACTAAAATTGTTGAGTTACCAGATTCGATTGGAAATCTGAAGAAATTGAAAGTGATATCGATGGAAAATACTCCAATAAGGAAATTGCCCAGTACTATTGGAATGTTAAAGAATCTGGAAGAGCTACATGCTAGTGATTGTGAAGAATTAAGTGGTGAAATTCCGAGAGAAATTGGCGCATTGTCCTATTTGAAAGTCCTTGAGCTATCAGATGCCCATATTTCTGGAGTGCCAACCACAATCAATTATGTTCCCCACCTTGAAAGACTGGACTTGACAGGTTGTAATGAGGTTCAAGAATTGCCAGAGCTTCCAAAAAGTCTGATCTATCTCCATTTTCGATCATCAGCATTGCGTATAGTTCCAGATCTCTCAAACTTGACTAATCTGGTCGATTTGCTCTTATCTGATGGCTCTGAAGATGTGGTTCAAGCTTCATCGGAACTGTTGCCGAGTTCTAGCTTAGGGTGGATTAGGGGGTTATCCAAACTGAAGAAGTTGGAATTGTCCCTTTCTAATATCCCTGCACCACCGACTGAGTTTGGTTCTCTTCCTCGTCTAAATGAGCTTATTTTATGTGGATTAGACCTGCAATCTATCACACAGCTTCCACCTTCCTTATCGGAGCTGCAACTTGTTCATTTCAACTCAACAGTATCTTGGTCAATCTTTTCCAACTTGAAAAACTTGTCAAAGTTACGACTTTCTCAGTCGCAGCTTCAAGAAATTGAACTCAGTGGACTCGAACAACTGAGAGCATTGACAGTGAGTAAATGTGAATTCCTTGAGAGGTTTTTCATCCCAGGAAGCTTAAAGAAGCTTAAAGAATTGTGGGTATTAGAATGTCCACGGCTAGTTGAGATTGAAGGTCTGGAGGCCCTAGAGTCCTTGGAAGAAATGTATGTACAGTATTGTGATTCCATTGAAAGGTTATACGGACTATCAAACTCGAAGTTGCTGAAGCTTTTGGATATATCAGACTGCCATGAGCTTCGTGCTGTTGAGGGCCTCAGCGGGTTAGAATCTTTGAATGCATTACTTGTTCTTGAGTGCAGTTCACTGGAGAAACTAATTATTCCATCAAGCTTAGAGAAGCTAAAACAGTTGGAGGTGTCAGGATGTCCGAAGCTGATTGAGATTCCTGGTCTTGGTGCATTGGAATCATTGGAGACTTTAGTTATTGAAAAGTGTCAATCTATTAGCCAACTATGTGATTTATCAAACTTACAGATGCTGAAGTCTTTGTCAATCGATGGATGCCATGAGCTACAAGCTATTGATGGTGTTGACGAGTTAGAATCGTTGCGTGAGTTCAATGTTTTTAATTGTCGGAAACTGGAAGCTCTGATGGATGTATCAAACACGAAGATACCTGATGAGTGCCTGATAACAATTCGAAAGTGTCGGAAGTTACACAGGCACGGTTATCCTAATGTTGAGGACCTTCCGTGCAGGGATTACAAAGACATGATTATTGTGATGACAAACTCTCCTACGGAGTCACTCCCTTTAGAGACATCAGATGAGGTATGCGTATTCTTCTTCCTAATATCTCGCCAGGCAATCCAACTCCTCTATAAGAACATAAGTAGTCCTGCCTGAATTGTTTATTTATTTCACCTTCACATATTATTTCTCTTCATCAAATCTATTGGGAAAACTTAAGCTTGAAAAGCCAAGTAAGAGAATAAGTATGAGGAAATTTTGAAAGGAAAAATTACCTGCCGGAAGAGATAGATTGGTTATGGTTCACTATGTTATCATTCATTACACGACACAGCAAATCTGCATTTCTTGTAGGGAGAGGTTGAAACGGATGATGAAGCGGAAGAATTGGAGGTGGCTAGAGATAGCTCTGATGGTAATAACTCACCTATCATCATAACTTCTCAAGAGCTTGATACTGAGCTTCGTTCATCCACAAGCTATCCGGACGAAGAGACTCCCGTTGTAAGCGATGTTGAAACCCCAATATGACCACAAGCTTTAACGATCGCACCAGGGAGCTCCACCTTTAGTTTCTTTCTACTCGGGGAAAGGAAGGAATAAAGGCATCTTGTATCCCTAGACTTTTCCAAATTATTTACTTAGGTCTTTGAATATTTTTTTGTGCAATTGTATCCTTTAAGTTTAAGGTTTTTTATTCGAGTTGATCCATTTGTTAAAATAGAAACAGAAATGTTGGCCTGGACTGATGACTCATTGACTCCACATCAATGTTGACTAAACAAGTTGGTGGTTATCTGTAATTTCGTAAGAGAGAAATAGAGAGAAGAAGGGGAGGCTGCAAGCGGCAGTGGCGGAGCTGCCCACTCGTTGACGAGGGCCATCGAGCCCTCGTAGACTATTGCCGACGTCAGGCGAAAGCTGGGGTCGCGACCCCAGCTGCCGATTACCACGGTTAAGGCTAGCTCTTGTCTGGGGTTGTGTGACCATGGGCAAGGCTAGCTCTAGCTTAGAATTTTACAATCCCGGCCAGTTGATGATTGGGGTCGCGTGATCATCATTGTCAATTAGAAGTGAGCGATTCTAGAATAGGTTTGGGTTCTATTTGGAACTTGCAACCTATCATGTCAAGGCCGGTTTTCGGTTTTTGGAACTTGAAACTTATCATGTATACCCTGGAGCCGGCCGATTCCTTCTTTTCTTTTTTTATCACTTTTCATTCTTTCTTTTTTGCTTCAATTTTGGTCAAGCAAAATGGAAATTAAAGTAACAACAAAAATTCCACATCATATAAATAGAGCTTCATAAAAAAAAACTACCTGTTTCAATTAGAACCATTTATAAGCGAAATAATCTGTCAAACCTAATTAGAGAAATCGTATTATGTTGTCATGTAAATTAAATGAAAAGGGTTAATTCAATAGAAAACTAGAAACACGTGTAAAAGAGAAGTGATTAGTTAAGTTGAAGTTTCCAAAGTGCATAATACTAGATTTCTCCCGCAATGAATATACTTATATGTTGCTACTGGATTATAATGGGTACACATTTTCCATCTCCACTAGTATGAAAGTTGGTGAAAAGATCCATAGATACTACTAGTTGTAGGGTTACCTTAGTCAACGTCACGCGACCTTGCCGTTGCTCATCAACGTCACGCGACAGGGGTCAAACGACACCAGCAGCATCTCGTCTCCTCTCCTCTCTATCGGTCTTTCTTTGAAAGTTGCCTTTTTTCTTAAAATTTCGATATTTATTTTGCTTTCTTATATTCTTTTTTCTAAACTATCCCTTTATTTTTTAATGCCACGTAAGATGTCATATCAGCATTAATGGCAACTTAATGGTCACGTCAGAATTTTTGTCCATTATTTTGACAAAAAGACCAACTTGAACAATTAATATAGTTCAGGGACTTGATTGCATAATTTGTAAAAGTTTGAGGACCTTCGATGCCACTATCCCAAAAAACAAGAACTCCTCAGCTAAGAGAGATCCAAACTCAAGAGCTAAAGTCACTGCAATTTTGTGTCGCATAGTGTCAGATATCAAATGTTATAATGTGTACCCGATGCAACTACTGCATATTTCAGTAGCTGTTTGCTTGAACTCTTCATATGTTTAATAACAAGCCGTGTTTGCCTAAAAACATGTATCCCTGGTCGGCCCTTTATTAGGTCACTTAGCAGGCATATGACGGAATCGCAGAAGATTAGGACCATTTGGAGGAACATAGCCTGATAACTCTCATTTGCATTCATCCTCAGAATACCACATTTGGAGTTCCTATTGTAGCTAAGCAACGCATTGCGTAATTCGATATGCAAGAGACAGGTTTGAAGAGGGAAAACCATGATGAAGTTAAATCAGTAGCATCAACAGTTACTTGAGAGATCGCTGCCAAGACTGTTAGACAGTAAGGTCCAACTTAATGCAAATTATAGGTATCCCCATGTATTTTTCGTTTGTTCTTAAACATATTAGCGGCCCCATCTCAGGGCACCACTCTGCAGTGAGAAGGTTCGCACAAGTGCTGCGGCAAAGGCAGAGCAGTCTAGGAACGATCACCTTCTCACATACTTTATATTGCTAATTCCTGTTCGATGATATGGACGTTCTTTCAACCTTGTCATATCATTATTTAGGTTTTAGATACTTAGCCTCAGAAGGCACTTTCTGGGAAGTTCATGGAATCTGCCATGATTCATAATTGACAATTTTCTGTCAAACTTGGTTGATATAGGATAAGAACCTCTATTGTTATATCTTGAACTTTTCTCGTTGGTCCATACCCAATGCGAAAAAAGCAGGAAGCTTCTGCATCAGCATTTTTCCTTGGCAAGCTAATCATCAAACAAGAACTTCATAGCTCACACCCTTCTCAAAGAGAAGAATGACTTTTCTAGTTTTCACTCTCACCAACCTGGTATCGGCATGATTGACCATGATTACCACCTAATTACCAGTTCTCCTTTAATTAAGTCATGGTTTACCTCACACCGTGGGCCAAGTTCGGATGGTTCTTCATTCCGTACAACAGCGTAAAATTTGTTCGATTGTTGAATTTTCTTATTGCATATATCTCGCTTCAAGTACTTTATCAGGCTTAAATGTTCACACTTCCTAGAAGAGTAAGTTGTGGCTTAATGTTCTCCGACTGATAACAAACAAAATTCCTTCCATTAAGTCAAAGCTGCGTATATTTCATAATGATAACATGGGAGCCCACACAGGTTTACCAAAACGTTTCTGGATTGCAATCTGGAGATGTGCAGGGCCTCATTACATCTAATTTACAAGTGCACTCCTTTCTCAATCTAGACATCGTATCATTCTTCAATCTTTAGAAACTCTTCAGAAGGACATCTCTTTGGGAGACCATAAGGTGCACCATCGACAAAGATCTCGCTCGCCAAGGACCAATAAGAAGAACTTCGCATTGCACTGTGAAGTAGTAGCCAACTTCGCAGCTGTCACATTTGTCTAGTCTGCCAAAGAGATTGGAAAGGACATCTCTTCACCTGTCGGTAATAGAACCATAACTGATTCCTTCATCATTATTACAAAGGGAATGCAGTTTCAGGCCAACACCAAAAAGAGTAATGCTAGAATATACCCTCTATTCTATCAGCGTCGACCTTGCTCAGTCTGCGCAAGGTGTCTGTGCCATCCCAGCCATTTAGCTCTGGGACATGGAATAACGAGGAGAATCCTTTGCCCAAAAAGAGCTGAAACATCACCTATACTCCATGCACAATTATGCATCGGTGCCTCCGCATGAAAAAGTAGTTTCTAGGTGAAGCTGTAATCCTGTAATAACTGAAGATCACACCACGTCTGTTCATCATGTACAACCTCTGGTCCATCACAAAGGAAAGGAAAACCAAGATTTGCTTCATCCGGTATCAAAAGAGAGCTACGACCAAATAGAACACCCTTCATAAGTATGAATACCGTTCCATGAATCATAAATGCATGAATGTGATAAACTGAATAATCAAACCAGTGCTGCTACATGATATTAAGCCCACTCTTTCTCTTCTTATCTTCATATCTATTCTCAATTTTGTCTTTTCGGTCTCAGTTACCTTTTAATGTCTTACAAAGCTTTGGATTAGAATATATTTATGGATACTACTAACGGAAGAACTCAATTTTGTTATTGACTCCGAAGCTACCAGTATACCCTTTGCATCTGCAATTAACTCCAACTTACTCCGGTTGGAGGGGACATTATTTCACTGACCGACCCACTTATCCTCTTAAAAGCTGGAGGTCAGTGTAATCTAATTGCCATATGAAGTGACTCGTTATGTAATAGTATACACTTAATGTGAACTCAAAACTCCTTTTAAGCCCCGCCTATAGTGACCAGACCATAAAGATAGACATCAACCCGTTATGATTGAGCATATATACATACATCCACCAAGTTTATTGCAATGACATGCCTGGGACACAACATGCAATCCAGCGTTCTCAGCAAAACCTCTATGGGTTCATCTGAAGGATTACCACCACGATTTCATTGGCAGCTGGGGGCTATAATTTCTCATAATAAGCAACAAATCTGGTTGGTTCTATACTGCAGAAAATAGGTTCTGTTCGTATCCTCTTGTTTGAAGGTAATTTAAAAAGATCAGGTATGAAGCTGGAGATCAGACTTTTGTCAACGTATTATTACAAAAGCATATGAGTCATGTTCTGTCCCATTACAGTGACGACACGGTAAAGATGAACCAAAAAACCCTTTTCAAAGAGCACATTAAAAAGGGTTTTTAATGTATGTTACCAGCAAAAAAGAGCACATTAAAACATGAATGGGAAGGCTTTTGCCAGAAAAAAAAAAAAAGAGTGAAAAGATGATGCGATGAATAGGAAGGCTTTTGCCAGCAGCCATAGAGAGATGCAGTTATATGTGCATCGCATGTCCTACCTACCACATCTTGACCAAGGAAGAAAGGAACATGCATATTTTGAAGTGTATTTTGGGAATGCAGACATCCGCATTATCAATTATGATGCATTTATTTTGTTTCTACTCCATCAATAGCATAACTATCAGTCCAAACGAAAGATTCAAAATCGTTTCCAGCAAAATCTCTTTCAAATTTTAGTTTTTTTCTGATAAATCCGCTTTTTACAGTCATCGCTTATCAGATATATCCCTCATGGGGACCTTTGGTTTGTTACGGTAGTGAGAAATTGAGAATCCTAGATAATTGCGAGTGAAGAAATGATTCTATAGACCGGCTGAAGGCTATTATAATTTTTGGTAGATTTACATTGTTGATTTAATTCTTGAACACTACACAAATTTTTGTCACATGATAGGTATGTGCAATGGCATGCTTCTTGCTACTTATGTTTTAATAAATTATCAAAAGAAAATTTACTTCTAATCGTATTTGGAGTGAAATATTTTGATCTTACCATAATCCTAATTAAGGTGCACCTTGTTTGTCTCAGATTCCGAGCGGTGGCCATCGATCTGGATCTTTGTCTATCCAAAACTGTCTGTTTGTAACGCTTGAAAGGAATATGACCTTCTGATGAAGAGTCAAGCCACTGGCTGCACTGGCCAACTCGTATTTGGCACTTATCCTGTATTTTCAAGTTCCTTATGTCAAGCAACTCCGTCAGTGAAGGGCACTTGTAGACATCCAACTCAATCAAAAACTCTAGTTCGTCAAGGCCCTCAATAACCTGCAGCCTAGAGCACTTATAGATGCCCGAACGGTGGAGGTTCTTCAGCTCTGATATGTCGCTTAACTTTTCCAAAGCTTGGCACCCT